CCAGCGGCCACTGAGCTCCGCAGAGGGGCCAGCACATTTCAGTGGGGTTTGCTCAAGTTCCTCCCACAGGCAGCCGAGAGGAGGGGGTTTGGGGCCTTGGGTTCCCCCGGCCTGTCCACAGGGTCACTCTTATTGCAGGATGGAGTGTTCCCCCAAACGTAAGTCGTGAACGGCCAGTGGGCTGCCCTGGGTAAAACTGGAAGGTTACTCTTACCACGAGCGCCTGGATTCAGGCCACGTGGAAAACATCACAGTGTTTGCTTTATGAAAAGATAAATGTGCATAAATCAATACATTACAGGCCTGGATGTGAAGTCCCTCTGAACAATACAAGTATTTCATCTCTATTTTCATTTTTTTTTGTACTTTTTTTCTTAGCAGGATCAGGAGCCCTACTGGTAAAGCTTKCAAAAAAAGCTGTTGGCATCTCCCGCCCCCTTAGGTCTTCAGTTTATTCATATCCAAGCATTCTGGTTCAAGCATTTCTTACCACTTTTGCATATTCTGCTAAAGAGAACTGCTAGAAAAGAAAGTGACTTCAGTACCTTGAAAATAAAAAAAGACTAGCCTTTCAGCTTCAAAGTATTCAGTTCCCCTTTTGCTGGGATCTCTAGATCCTGTTTTGTGCTGGCCAGAGATTTTCCATTCTAAAAATAATAAAGAGAAGGTAGGAAGCGGCGCAGTCCAAACCTGAATGGTGCCTGAATGGAGTTCAGGCAACAAGGTGCCTGCCCCTCACACACACACACACACACACGTGTGTGCGGCACATACACATGTTGGCACTGCCCCAGTAATGATTGTTTTCACCCCAAGAAAGGCCCTGTCCCCACTATGGAACGGGCTGGGCGGGGATGACGGGAAGCCCTGAACAAGCACCGCAGAGCCCACAGACACCTTCAAGATCTGGCAAGTGCCCGGGCACCAACTGCTGGGCAAGGCAGCAACATTGCTTAGAACYGAGCCTTTCTTCTCAGCGCTGCGGAACAAAACACAAAATTACATAAAATGCAGTGAGACAGGAAGCAGAGGGGAGCTCCTCATTTGCAGGATTTAGGACTTAGCTGGAGCGAGTTCGGATGCAAAGGCAGGTAGCGTGGAAATTGTGTGATCTGAATGGAGAGATTAAAGCATTAAATATGAGCTCTTGAGTAGTGTTACTAATGCTATCCTGGATTATTGAATCCAACTAAGCTGCTTAAAAACGGAACTGCCCTTAAATGAATAATACTGTTTCAGCGGCAGTTCTGACAGAACTGGCTTTGCTAATTTGTTCTCTCTCTCAAGTCCCTCCCAATTCCTGGGTTTCATGCAGGAACTGCCGGAACATTTGTTTGGGTTTCTTTGGAGTAAAATCTTTGCTGTCACACTGCCCTCCATGGGGTTGAGACATAGGAATATTCTTCCTACCACATAAAAAAGGCAGTTTTTAAATGCCCACCAAATGGAGCCACCTCGTGCCGAGGCGCCAGGCCATTCCGGCTCTCCCCTTGCCAGGTGCTGCCGAGGCGGCGCGAGGAAGGGGGCCGGTCCCCACGGAGCTCCAGCCGCTCCAGCAGCAGCCGCAGGGAACGAGGCCGCAGCAGCCGCTCGGCTCGGCCCGAGGGGCTGCGGAGCTGGGAGCTGCTCACATCCGGAGCAGCTGCTGCCGGCGCCGCTCGCAGCYGGAACGGCTGGAAACGGGCGGCGCAAACAGGGGCTCTGCCTGTGCTCGCACACRGGCAGCCGGAGGCACTGGCACCTCCACGGACACGGCTCTGCTCCTGGCCACCCACTCCTGTTCCTTCCTTGCCATTCTCACCTAAGGAGCAAGGACCTGCAGATTGCTGCTACCAAGAAATACAGATGTGATCTGCATTGCAGTATCCATACGTGGAGATTAGCCTTCTCCTACCTGAAATTATTCTTTAAAAATCTGATTTCTTCTAAYACACCATCAAGGCCCAGTCAGGCAGGAAACTTTCATACCCAAAGCTCCTRGAGAGACATTTTCAAAGGCACCAAGTGTTAATGGCAGTCATCTGATTTCTGCCTTTGACACAGTGTCCACTGGCTATTGCAAAGTATTAAGGTGAGCACATTTAACTCCAGAAAAGTGAATATATAGACATGGGCAAGGAAATAGAAAGGGCAATGAAAACAAACTTAACACTGTTAGGGAAGGTGAGGGGCACAGGCCTGTTTCATGTATGCTACTCTGAAGAGCAGCCRTTAGGCTTTCAGCCCCAAATCTGACTGCCTTTTAGCCAGTCTCTGACCTAATCACATGTCCACTTCTGTATAAAAGGAATGGGCTTTGATCACCATAGAGCTTCTCATCTGCTAGGATGGGAAAAGCCACTGAGATTAACTAAGTGATGCTGACACAAAGTCGGAGGGAAGTCCCTGTGGGTCAGRTTCTGCCTTTCTAAGAAGGAAAGTATTATGGCTTTTATGTTCAGGACAAGTTCAAACACAGCTGACACTCAGGGACCAGGGAATGATTTACAACTCACACCTTCAGATCTGTTTGGGGCAGACCCTTCTCCTCCTCCCTGAGTCTCTAAGGCCTGGCCACATCTTTTCTTTCCTGCTCCTGCTTGGCCCTGCCAGGCACTCCGGAGAGCTTGGCAAAAGAAGCCCTGCAAGAGCTCTGGACACCGTCTTCAGCAGCAGTGGAGACGGCAGACTCCAACGAGCAGACTGTACCATATATAGCCATTTCCAGGAGCTGTGGTCTGTATATATTCATCCTGGGAAGGCAGACAGACTTATTGATCCTGATTTTTATCAGGGAAGACTTGAGCCAACAAAATTAGAAGGCCTGGATACTGCTAGATAATAAGAGCCCAGATCAGACTTGGGGAGCTCCTGATAACAGCTTTTGGTTCAGACCCAGCCCAGCATTTCCCGTTCTACCCCCACGAGCCTTGCTACTGAGCTTGCGTGCCCAGAGAAGCCCACACAAGTTTGCAAAATCCACCCAAGACACCCCGAGGGATTTAGCAGGGAGCAGGATTAGTGAGGGTGCAAGTCAATAAAACTGAGGTTTGCGGATATGGCTGTGTTCTGTTTTACTACACACCCCTGCTCTCCACCCTGCTGAGGAAGTCACTAATACGGTGTAAGGAGAGGTTTCAGCACCTAGTTATCCTTCATCAAAGTATCCTGTTATTAGTCCCAGGCCTCTGGGCTTGACCCTGCCGCACAGGTCCAGCGGCAGCCACTGCTCACTGCAAAGCATTACTGATCCAGGGCTTGAAAGCCCAAAGGCTACGGTCTTAAACTTGAGCTCATCATCACAGGCAGGCCCAAGAGGCAGAGCAGGTGCCAGCCCCTGGGTTAAATCCCAGCAGGGACCTATCAAGGTGAACCACAGCTCCTGGGCCAGCCAGAACTGCGGTATCTCAAGTATGTCCTTGTAAGGCCCGCGTGGGTCAGAGGAGGCACAAAGCTGCAGGTACCATTTAGGGCCAACAGCCCCGGGGAGGCATTTCGTAAGAAGCCAGTCTTATCTACAGTGAGAAAAAGAAAACCTGGCAGAACTTCAGCACAATACAACAGACGCTAATAAATGCTGCCCGGCGCAAATCTCCACGCAGAAAAACAAAACCAAAGGGACTGGTGATGGAGAGGCTGCTGATGAAAAATTCAAAGCACCCACRGTCCCAGGATGGCAAGCATCAGGACAAGCCATCTGAGTGGCAACAGGGTGAGACCTGTTCCGTACGTGTCAGTTTGGGTCCCTTTCTATCACCTCCTATCACCAGYGGAGAGTTCAAGGGCAGCTCTCCTGGATTACACATTCTAAAGCCTCCTGGAAACGCAGAGAGAGTAAAAAAATAAGAGGTCCAGTGCAGGCACGGGTCTCCCCTGCATGCCCCATGAAGCAGACACACAGCCACACACACTCAGCCACCAAGAGAGAAGAGGGCAAACGAGCGTGCCCCGCTTCTCTTTTCCCGCGGGAAGAGCAGCTCGGCAGCAGCTCTGCTGGAGGCTGGCCCGAGGGGGCTCGTGCCCTCCATCCCCGGGCCCCACGTCACAGGTGCCCCCTGTGCTGCCTCTGCAGCCACTCCCGCCTGAGCAGCGCGATCTCCTGCCCGTACCAGTTGTGGAGCTTGGAGAAGCAGGCCGTCTCCGGAGACACGGGGCTCTCCGGCAGCGGGAGGCTGGGCGCGGGGGAGGCGGCTGCGCCGCCGCCGGCCGAGCGCCGGC